GGAAAAACGAGCGTGTTGCCCGTGACGAGAGGAAGCCGATGATAGGTAGGTACCCAATTTTAAGGTCCTAGATCATCGGTTGACCTTCCAGGTCAGGTCAATGACCCAAAAGTCGGGAAAATCGGGACCTGTTAGAATATGGTAGTGTGGCTGCATATGGTTTTTTCGAGGTACTGATCACGAATATCATGTTAGTTTTGATCACAGATGATGTCTTTACTCATTTAGGCCAGGTCGGATCACGTCAGGTCAGGTCAACCAGTCAACCTGCCGGGTACTCGTAGGATGAATCAACCGCGTCTTACGGCTCAACCAAAACTACTTCGTAAATGTTCAAATGGCTGCTGAATTCGAATTCAGCTCCAAAAACTAGTCTACAAGCATGCAAAACTCGAATAAGTGAACGAGGTCATCAAAGGCCATTGACCTGACTTGACCTTCAGGTGACCTTTACACTCACCCTAATGTACCTATGGGAGGAATATCATATCACGTGTTTCAACGCTTCACACCACGAAAGACTGCAAACGCGCGGCTAACGCGAGCCGACATACGCCGAATCACGATTCCGGCCAAACATGGTCTGAAAAAGTGGGTCACAGGTCCTGGAAAAGTGGGTCATAGGTCAAAGGTCACTTGGGTCAGGGTCAGAAATTTTCAGAGTAGGCATAAAATTGATTAACGCGAGGGTACTAAAGGTTTCGTCACGATCCGCCGCTTTTTACGCAAGTTATTTGCAAAAAAACCAAGGGGGTCAGCTCGATCCCCCCCCCCCCTATACAGGGAAACGTTAACCCTCGCCGGCACAGGGGGTTGATGCAACCCCCCAAGGTTTTTTCGCGAATAACTCGCGTAAAAAGCGGCCGATCGCGACGAAACTTTCAGTACCCTCGCCTTGATCAATTTTACACCTACCCTGAAAATTTCATGACCCTGACCCAAATGACCTTTGACCTGTGACCTCTTTTCCAAGACCATGTTTGGCCGGAATCGCGATTCGGCGTATGTCGGCTCGCATTAGCCGCGCGTTTGCAAGCTTTTCATGGTTTCAAACGTTCAAACATGTGATTTGATGTTGCTCCCATTCATTAGGGTGGGTGTCAAGGTCGCCTGAAGGTCAGGTCAGGTCATTGACCTTTGGTGACCTCGGTTCACTTTTTTAGTTTTAGGTAGGGGAGAGAGGTCATATTGCGCCATGTTCTTAAATGCGCCACACCTTCCTTCTGCCCAAAATTCGGTTCGAACGAATACTCGAATGTGTGCATTTACTTCACCACCAATAACTCGCTCTTATTTCGGTCCACGGGGGCAGGTGCGGTGTCTCAGCTTTCTCGCAGACCATTTTTTGTGATTTCCTCTATTTTCGTACGCGAAACAGTCTATTTCGACCTTTGCTAGTGTCATGGTTTATCTTAGAGATAGTGATTCAACTAATAATCATTGTTAATTGCTCGTTTAATGGTAGTTTTGAAAGTTTATCACCACCGTGGCTTCGCTGTCGTCGCCATATTTGAAGCTCATGAAAAATATGTTCCATTCGTAATTGCGCCCACCCTATGTGCGCCCTATTTCTTCAACTCAGAGAAACAGCATCTGGTGGTTGGGACACATTTCATTGAACACTTTGATTATTAGAGCGCTCACCTTACCATTACCTTAGCCTTCACAGCATAAATGGTTAATGGGCTGACACGTTCAAATAGGCTACTTAGTTAGGTGGCAAACCGTTGTTTTTAATAGGGCGCTTTTACATGAGAGGCATGGGCGCTTTTTGACGGGGGAGTCCGTAAATGCGCCCTTTGCAGATGTGCCGGAAAGCTTTTCTCTTGTTAATTTTTCTAGGTGTGATACAAATTGGGAGTTGTTATTTGATGCCAAAAACACTGAGGTACAATTTGAGATATCATCAAACATGACAGCTGGTCAACTTTAGCCGCAATAGGCCGATAGGTATCCTTAAGGTGGCGCAATATGACCTCCCTCCCCTACGTGTTTCTAGGCTAGTTTTTTTAGCTGAATTCGAATTTAGCGTCCATTTGAACATTTACGAAGTTGTTTTGGTGCCTTCGTAACATGTTACGAAGCTGTCAGAGGCGGATGACAGGTACTACGAATACCCGTCACGACCCCTACCGGTTGACATAGGCGGAGGGGGCACCGGGGCACCGTGCCCCCTTTGATTTTGGCATTTTACTTTTAGCCCTATGAGCGTTGCATGGAAAGAATGAGACCAAAAGTCGGCAGTGCCCCCTTAATTGAAGGTGTTCTGCCGCTACTGCCGGTTGACCTGACCTGACCTGACCCGACCTGGTTTAAACGCTTATCGACATCATCTGTGATCAAAACTAATGCGATATTCGTGATCAGCACCCCGGAAAACCCCTTAGCAGCCACACTTTACGACTTTCTAACAGATCCCGATATTCCCGATTTTTTGGTCATTGACCTGACCTGGAAGGTCAGCCGGTGACCTAGGACCTTACAATTTGGTATCATTGGCTTCCTCTCGTGACGGGCAACACGCTCGATTTTTCCGCGAAGCTCTAGCTCCATCAGGGGCCAAACGCGAGGGGGGTCGTACTAACCCCCCCCCCCCCTCTTGTGCCGTCGAAGCGAAGGACTCAAAATGGCCTGTGCCGGCGAGGGTTAAGTTGACCTCACCCTAACAAAAAGTATACCACTCGACGCCCCTGATCTAGACTAGCACGAAGGTGCCAAAATAGCGGTTCTGTGGCCATTTTGCGAAGTTATTTACCAAAAACCTAGCCCTTGCCTTGGGCCAGTTGACCTGACCTCAGAGGTCACCGTTTGACCTGAGACCTTATGATCGGGTACCAATCGCTGCGTCTCGTAACGGGCGCACACGTTCGTTCTTCCGCGAGGCTCTAGCTCCATTAGGGGCGAAACAGCGAGGGGGTCGTACCCCCGCCCCCTTCGGACCTTCCCCTCGGTATGAAGAAAACCAATAGGTCCGGCGAGGGTTAAATTAAAGGCCTTTAAGCGCGGAATTCTTGTTGTGGAATATTTGCTTCCTGAAACCCCTGAAGGCCGAATGTCGCCGCTATCTCCGTGGAAAGGTCCTATCGCCCGAGGGCAGGAAATAAGTCAGGATACAGCCAGGTGACTGACTGATCGGTACGGCAGCCGCTGGGCCAGCTAGGTAGTTAGGTACGGGCTGCATTCAGGGGAGCGTGTTATGCAATGCAGACGCGGTAGTCTACATCCAGACTTCCCATGATATGTGGTAAGTACAGTCACTGAACTCTATAATGGGTACAGTCTACATTCAGGCCACCGTGTAGTGCGGTACAGCCTAAATTCAGGCGACCGTGTAGTGCAGTACAGTCTACATTCAGGCGACCATGTTTTGCGTCACAGTCTACATTCAGGCGACCGTGTAGTGCGGTGCAGTCTACATTCAGGCGATCGTGTTGTGCGGTACCGTCTGCACTCAGACGACCGTGTAGTGCGGTGCAGTCTATATTCAGGCGACCTGTTGTGCGGTACAGTCTACATTCAGGCGATCTTGTTGTGCGGTACCGTCTGCATTCAGGCGACCGTGTAGTGCGGTGCAGTCTACATTCAGGCGACCGTGTAGTGCAGTACAGTCTACATTCAGGCGACCGTATTGTGCGGTACAGTCTACATTCAGGCGACCTGTTGTGCGGTACAGTCTACATTCAGGCGATCTTGTGCGGTACCGTCTGCATTCAGGCGATCTTGTTGTGCGGTACCGTCTGCATTCAGGCGACCGTGTAGTGCAGCACGCCAGCACAGTCTACATTCAGGCGATCTTGTTGTGCGGTACCGTCTGCATTCAGACGACCGTGTAGTGCGGTGCAGTCTATATTCAGGCGACCTGTTGTGCGGTACAGTCTACATTCAAGCGATCTTGTTGTGCGGTACCGTCTGCATTCAGGCGACCGTGTAGTGCGGTGCAGTCTACATTCAGGCGATCGTGTTGTGCGGTACCGTCTGCATTCAGACGACCGTGTAGTGCGATGCAGTCTATATTCAGGCGACCTGTTGTGCGGTACAGTCTACATTCAGGCGATCTTGTTGTGCGGTACCGTCTGCATTCAGGCGACCGTGTAGTGCGGTGCAGTCTACATTCAGGCGACCGTGTAGTGCAGTACAGTCTACATTCAGGCGACCGTATTGTGCGGTACAGTCTACATTCAGGCGATCTTATTGTGCGGTACCGTCTGCATTCAGACGACCGTGTAGTGCGGTGCAGTCTATATTCAGGCGACCGTGTAGTGCAGTACAGTCTACATTCAGGCGACCGTATTGTGCGGTACAGTCTACATTCAGGCGATCTTGTTGTGCGGTACCGTCTGCATTCAGACGACCGTGTAGTGCGGTGCAGTCTATATTCAGGCGAACATGTTATGCGGCACAGTCTGCATTCAGGCGACCGTATTGTGCGGTAACGGGTAATCTGCATTTAGGCGACCTTGATGTGATGTGCGGCACAGTCTGCATTCAGTCATTTAGTATGTTCTACGACTCCACATTGATCAATCAGTCGTGAGGTCTAGTCTATAGGTAGGTATTAGGTATTCAGACGTTCCACTATTTGTGTTAAAAGGTCTTCATTCCGTGGAACACTTCGCGTCGTTGACAATCGACGAGCTCAGTCTGTCATTGACGAACTGCGAATGGTAGCTTGAAAGTCGCAGGAATTGCAGAAGGTATCTTCCATTTCCGATGCATCAGTTTAGTTGGAGTAGGTGAAAGTATCTAAAGTCTAAACTAGTAAAAATAAGCAAATGGATCCTGGACGGCAATTACCAACAAATCAAATATCAGAATTAAAATATCACCAAATATAATTCAAATGCGGTTCTTATGCGGTTCTGGAGTTAACTGGACCATCCTCATCCACCCTTAGGAGCGGTGAGCTAAACTATGTTTAGCTGACTGCTGACACTTTGTGTTGAACAATGCACTGTCGTTGCCGTGCCTAACCGAGTGCTGCTGTTGCTGGCTGGCCGCAGGCTGGGATGTGCCGTCCGATTGGTTGGCCGCCGTGGCCCGGACCAGCGGCGGGGGCGGTGACCCACGGCACGGCCGTGGTCGGAGCTGTCCCGCGCAGCTGCTCTGCCGCGGACTGCAGAGTCTGGACGAGGCTCTCCCCAATGGAGGTCTACAGGCTCGCCTAGCCAGGTGAGGCTCGGGCAGTAGAGGTTCTCATGGACGGGGGACGCGCACGGTTCCGGGAGCTATATGTCCCCGCGCCACCCTCCGCTGCGTGTGGGTCACGCGTGTGAGTGCGCTGGGTTAGCATCAGAGCGGGACATATGACGCACTTTCAGGGTAGTTTGCCGTGCTGCGGATATGCGGTTGCAGCCGCACGCCAATGCGCGCCGAGCTCATTCGTCACGCGCGAGGATTTCCACTAATACCTATTCCCTACGCTTGGAACCATCCACAATAACACGACGGGAGCTTAGTCACTCATCCGGCTTGTCTGAACGATTAGGTGAGCTTCTGCTAATCAGTCATCACTTTATTATTTTTTTTTTGTATTCCGAGGAAGACGGCAATTTTTCATCGATTTCGTACGCTGTGGGTGGAGCGAACCTGTGTGTCCCCCCCCCCCCCGGTGGGGCTGACTATGTGGCGTCGTGTGTTTTAGTCTGCCGGCGTCCTGGCTGCTGGCCCTGCTCACCAGTGGCGGAGACGGGGCGGCGACACTGACGGCGCAGTTCGCCACCTACTGCCGCGTGCTGGTGGCGTCATCAGAGGCAGCGCGAGGCGGCGACTGCCGCCGGCGGCGCGTCTGCCTTCTCCGAACCGTGACGCTCACTGACCCCTGACGAGAGGACGCGAGTCGCACGCTGTGCAGTGTGCACCGTCACAGCGCATACCTGTGTTCAAACGCACTGTATAGGAACTAATATATGCAAACGTACAAACCAAGTGTTACAATACAACATGCTAAAACGTGGACTAAGAACTTGAAGAGTGACGATCACTGATGATTGATCGCCGGTCTTATCGGGGTTTCTTGTTTCCTTAGATGATCTGCAATAGACTGGTAGTAGGTATAAGTGCGATTGAGAAGTATAAAAGAAGCTTAGTGTGAGTACAAAAGGTGCTCTACAATTTCTTCTATATTTGTAGCTGCCGTGTGATTCTATGTACCTAGTAGGTATCGTGATATCACTGTATCCCAAGGCGAAAACTGAAAACCGAAGACTTCCGAGTCTCGAGAGCTACGTTGTTTCACCATGGCCATGAAAAAGACGATCGGGCATGTAGGTAGGTATCTAACTCCAAAATGGGTATAGGTAAATTCGCCTTTAAATCTCTGAATCAATTCATTTTTGATACAACAGTTCTAATGTATGTATAATGTCCGTTCAGTCCGACCTCTGCACTGCGCTGTGCTGTCCGACTCTGATCAGTCCCGCGGCCCGCCCGTCCCGAGCGTCCTCTGCCGTGTCCGTGCCGGCTCGCGCAGTGCAGTGCGGGTATGCAGATGGGCCGGAGCCGGAGCCGCTGCCGGCGGGGGTCAGTCGCGGCGCTGAGGCGGAGGGGTGCGGTGGGTCGTCTCAGGGACGCAGTGCGACGCTCCGTGAGACCAGAGAGGGAGATGACAGCGCGACGCGGTGCCCACCTGCCGACCGGAAGTACGGCGAAGTTGGCTCCACTGTCGCTGCTGCTGCTGATGGCGTGTCTGCCAGGCTGCTGTCGGCAGCTGGGAGACAACAGCACCGACCGGCCCGTCAGCGGTGAGTGTCCAGTGAGGACCAACTACAGTCCCAAGCTTGTGGTCATCCTCTCGGCGGTAGTTTACTTTCTGGCTATTGTATCCGATTGTACCCGTGCCATCAGTGTGCGCTAAAGAGCTGAGTTTCGCGAGTCAGCACTGAACGGAACAGTTTACCAAAATTATATCGGTCGACGAGCGACTCTTCCGCGTTAATTTGCATACATAACACAGCATATCAGCTATTGAGCCCGTCCTAGGCGGCTTGGCCTCCTTCGGGCCCTCTGCAGTCCTCATATTTAGACACTTTTCATCTACATGTGATCCAAAATTATCGAGGCACACAAGACCACATTTGGAGTTACTTTTATATAATTATGCAGCGCTAATACCTACCTATGTCCATTAGCGTGCAATGTTACGGAATGAGATTGCATTGGTGTGCATGAACATGTAACGGATCCTTTTCCGGACAATTTGTGCGAGTGACTGCATTATGCATTACCACAGTGCGAGCTACGAGGCTGCGTTGCTGCGCAATAGATGGTTTGACCTCTTGTTTTTCACGGCAGGCTGCGTGCCGCGGGAAATCCCCGCCAGTGCGGCGTCTGCTTGGGTCGGCGCCCCGCCGCCCGATGACGCATCCGGGACGGTGACGGCCGGCGGGCAGCAGCAGCAGCGGCGGCGGCGAGGGCTGCTCGTCAGCGACACAGAGTGCAGTCTCGAGAACCTGTGCGACCCCAGCGCCCGCCCGCGCGTCTGCTACTACAACGCCGACATCTGCGACGGCGAGCAGGACTGCAGCTCGGGCCGGGACGAGCTCTTCTGCGACGAGTGCCTGTGCCCGTACGAACGTGTGGACGGCGTCACAGCGTCTGTGCCTGACAGCGCGGTGCGCTACTGGATCGGTGTCAACCTCAAGGGGTGCGCGCGCGCCTGCAATGACATCGAGTCGGGCTGTGTGGGATTCAGCTTCAACGCGCTGAACGAAGGCGAACATCGGTGTCGGATCTTCTTTCAGCCAGGCTCGTTCGTGGCCAGCAACATCGGCGGGAGCTTGTACATTCGCAACGAGCCGTCGACGCCGCGGCTGGGGCGCGGCGGCGCGGACGCGCTGCAGATGGCGCCGCCGGCGGTGGACTGTTCCCGGTCCGATGTGCGCCCGTGTCCGTCCGGTAACGGCCAGTGCGTGCCGTACAGCCAGCTGTGCGACGGCGTCCAGCAGTGCTCCGGCAACAGCGAGGAGTTCGGCTGCCCCCTCTACCTGAAAATATACTCTCGACTGGATGGCAAGACGATCGGATCGTACTCGAGCCCGCTACCGGCCGTCAGTCGAGACACCTGCGCGGCCTACTGTCTGTACCACTCCACCGAACACCCAAAATGTCTGTTCTTCGCGTACCGCAGCTCAAATCGACAATGTCTGATCGGCTGCAGCTCGTGCGGCGACTCCCCTCAAGTCATCGACGAGACTGGATCAGAGTTCTACTCGGTGCACGTTGCAGGGACGGCAGCGCTGGCTGCCGCCATTGTGGACTTTGGCGCTTCGCCGAGTAACAGGGACGCTGCTAACTTTGAGAGCCTGCGTCCGACAGTTCACCAACTGACCGAGTCTCTGAAGACACTGGGCATCTCCATCCCCGACCTTCGGTCTTCCGACGCCGTCTCAACCCTGCTGAATCCGACTCGCACGGCGGTGCCATCGGCATCCACTATCGGCCCGGGAAGCGTGCCTCGACCTCCCCCCAGGAGGAAGCCTCCCGGTAATCAGCCCAACAGTGGTCAGGCTCAGGACCAATTTTTCGGCAGGCCGCCGACGCTCGCAACACCAAACAACTCCCCCGCCGCGCCTTCCAGCTCCTTCAGCGGATCGGTGACACCGGCTGCCGCTCCGACTGCGACCCCTCAGCTGCCGGCTCAGAGCTCGCAGCTGTTCGCCGACTGCGGCCGACGGCCTCTGGACCCTCTGTCGGCCAGAACCCAGCTGCGTGTCATCCCGGCCGGCCGCACCTCCAACCGCGTGGTGGGCGGCGAGCCAGCCACCTACGGCACGTACCCGTGGCAGGCGCAGATCGAGCTGTACAGCGACGCCGGCCACTTCGAGCACCACTGCGGCGGCGCTCTGATCAGCGAGCGGCTCGTGCTGACGGCGGCGCACTGTCTGGAACCGGCGCGAACGCGACTGCAGGTGAAACTCGGTCAGCACGACCGGCGCGACGCCAGCGAGCAATTCGAGCAGACGTTTGCCGTGGAGAACATGCTCAGCCACCCGGGCTACCGGTCAGACTCGGCGAGCGGCGCCTCCGACGACATCGGCGTCATGAAGCTGCGGCTCCGTTTCGGCCGGCCGGTGGTGTTCAGCTCGCACGTGCAGCCGCTGTGTCTGCCGAGCGGGCCGCCGACAGTCGGTCAGGAGTGCCACGTCTCCGGCTGGGGCAAGACGGACGCGGGGCTGCCCGACTCGCCGCGCTCGGCGGCCGACGTGCTGCACGGCGTGGTGGTGCCCGTCATCTCGGACACGCTGTGTGCGGCGCGCGAGCTGTACGGCGCGCGGTTCGCGGCCGGCCGGATGCTGTGCGCCGGTCACCTGGCCGGCGGCGCCGACTCGTGCCAGGGCGACTCGGGCGGGCCGCTGGTGTGTCCCGGCGGCGACGGACGCTGGCAGCTGGCCGGCATCGTGTCGTTCGGCGAGGGCTGCGGCGCGGCGCTGAAGCCCGGCGTGTACACCCGGGTGGACCACTACGTGCCCTGGATACGCGCGGTGGCGCAATCACTGGGCAAGTGAACGGAGAGACAGGCGGTAGTGCGCAGCTGATTCTGTTACGCCTTGGCGTACTCCGCTTTCGCCCATAGAATGGTTCGAGATGATATGCCCGATGAGGAAAGGTATACGATTGTTAAGTGGTTCGAAATAGCATATTGGCCTGTAACGAGATCTCCTTTGTCAATACATACCCGATCATCCTGTTGTTCAAATTTTTGTACAATGCATTCACGTTATACAATACTACCCAAACAAAAGCAGTGTATAGGGTAAGGTGCCTAATTAGCGACCCTTTCCGATTTGCGACCCACCTCCCTACAGAAAAACTGGCAGGAGCAAACGGGGTAAAAACATCGTCAAAAGGTCAGCCATACTTTGGTTATCAAATTACATTATTTTCCGGTCGTCGATGTTTCTGGTGGGACGTTTCAGGTGATTTTAAGTAAAAATGACGAGTTTCTTATCCAAAACGTGTGTGTTTGGGCCCTCTCTGATGAAAAGCGATGCACGTTAGGATGGTGCACCTTTTTTATTCTGAATCGACATTCCTTTTTTAATTGATAACCGTTTTCCATAGTGAATCGCTCAACTGTGCACAGCATGGCGGTTAAAAATATGTCGCAACTCATATTTCCTTTTTGCGCCTGGCATGGTCGCAAATAGCTCAAGAAGGGAAAGAAAGGGAAAAGGGAGAAATGAAAATGAGGTGTTGCTGAAGCTTGCAATGTGTGGCAGGGGATGCCAAATGTCGTCACCGACTACAGGGGTGCCGAGTTCAGCGCGGACCTCGAATATCATACAAGATAGCCTGCAAAATTTGGGTTTCCGCCTTCTTTTCGCCTTCGGTGGATCACGTGATCAGTTTTTACCTACGTAAATGTGTTGGATAAACGTTCCTGTTCGAGTTATTGAGTGCTTTGCGTATAGGTTACCTTTCTGAGATCATACCTATTTCATCTTTTCAGGCGTCGCATTTTTTGCCATTTTTAATATGGGGAATCCCATAGACTTATTAGCGACCCTCCCCGGTCGCTAATCGGGAAGAGTTCCCTATTAGCGTTTTTTGCAATGGTTTGCCAAAATGCTCACTACAAATAAGTTAGTAAATATTGGGGCAGAAAATGACTATATTTTAATAGAAAAATGAACGATCTCTCCGAAAATCAAGCCAGTAACTCAGTGGCACCCACAGAGCGTGAACAATGACGGTTCAAATTAAGGGGGTCGCTAATTAGGCACCTTACCCTATTCTCGTAAATATATCAGTTTACGGAGCGGAGCAGCAAAAATGGTTTTATCTGATACCCACCGCCACCGGAATTTGAGTCATTAGGTATATTTGAACTTTGAAGACGTTAGGAATCAGTAGCGGCGGAACACCTTCAATTAAAGGGGGGCACTGCCGACTTTTGGTCCCATTCTTTCCATGCATCGTCCATAGGGCTAATGTTAAAATGCCAAAATCAAAGGGGGGCACGGTGCCCCGGTGCCCTCCCCGTTCCGCCGCCTATGTTAGGAATACTAGAACATCGGTAGAAGGACTCTTCAAAACACCTTCACTGTCCACCCATACAACAAACAAGGCGTACCTTTATATAGGGCAATCGGAAAAGAAAGTTTACCTAAACGGATTTTGTTGAAACGCTCCACTGAGTTGTTGACTGTAGGTATGCCGGAGTTTGTAAACCTCAGTCAAGGTCACTGACTCTCCGTGAGTCTACGCAGCGTCGCCAGCGCGGCATCCAGCACAGTGAAGGCGGAGAGGCCCCAGAACAGGCCGACCAGACCGCCCACGTAGGCGGCCACGTCCCCTTCGGTGACGGCCAGCCGCTGGCGAGTCTCGCGCATCATGGGCGGCCAGCTGAGGTGCACCCGGACCGTGTCGGGCCGCGTCAACAGCGGCGTCACGCGCGCCTCCTCGACCAGACGCACCTGCTCGAACCGGCAGTTGGAGGGACCGCGGCAGCGCTCCACCAGCCGCTGGCGCCACTCGGGACCGTACGAGGCCTCGCGCAGCGCCGCCTGGGAGCCGAGAGGGCACGGCGGCAGCGCGCGCACCTCGGCAGAGGCCATCCAGTCGGCGCGGCAGCCGGCGGTCTCTGCCAGCGCGCGCTGCATGCAGCTTCGCCGCCGCTGCTGGCTGGTGAAGCCGCACGGCGCGTTCCGCCGGCTCACCGTTTCTGAAGCCATCATAGTCAGCTGGAGCGTCACCACCGTCCCCGGCCGCAGCGGCACCTCGGCGGAGGCTGTCTCGTGCACCCGGTACACAGATTCGGGCAGGGTGAGCTCCTGGTCGGGCCAGTGGATCAGCAGCAGGTGGGTCACGCGCCGGGACAACACCGGCTCCACGGCCAGCTCGAGCGCCACCTGACGCTCCCTGCCGGCAGCGTCCGCGGAGCGCGGCGGCGGCTCGGCCGTCACGCAGTACGGCATCCGCGTCTCGTCGTCGAGCTGGAACGAATGGTGCACGCGCACGGCCACGGTGTGCTCTGCGGTGACGTCGCAGCCGTCGCAGGGACGCAGCAGGCGGGCCGGGTCCGGCCGCAGCCGCTCCACGAACTCGCCGGAGCTGATGTTGCCGGCGCGCAGCTCCTCCAGACTGGCGTTGTAGACGGCGGCGGCCGGCCAGAGAGGACACACAGTCAGCGCCGGCGTTGGGGAGGCCGTCCACAGAGTGTCGGTGGCCACCGGCTCGGAGGCATACAGCACCAGTTCTTGATAGCAGAGCCACAGCAGCACGGCCGAGGACACCAGCTTCAGACCGAGGACGGCGGCGGCGGCGACTGACTGCAGCGCGGCGCGCCACGAGCAGGACAGTGACCGCCGTACGGGGTCCTCCTCGGCCGGAGGTGGGGCCCGTCGGCCGTCACCGGACGTGGGCCGCAATACCACGCGTATCAACATCAGCGCCGACCGAATGAGACGAGAAAGACTAACGCAATCGAAACCGAACGGACCAACGTCGGGTTGTCTGTGATACAGACAGCAGCTTCTTGAACGTCTGCTAATCTGTAATTCTGAAAATATCTATTAACAAATCATCAGTGATCTGAGGGTTATCTCCTAAGAAAATTATGATGTCACAACTTCTCAATGGGTGTCCGGTCCAGTATTCCACCAAGAACAGAGGCTTTACTCTTCTCTCTTCAGCAGCGGGGTGAAGTCTAGTGCTGAGAGAGTGACCGAGCGAAGAAACCAGTATAGACCGCTGCTGACACCGGGCCCGCCCACTGGCGAGTGAACAACTCCGCCCGCAGCTCGCCGTCGCGTGCTGCTACACGGCTCATAAGTGCAGCCTTGCCGCATGCCGTATTCACATTACGTCATCCATACGAAGTTCTATGACCTCGATCCATACAATCTAGCGAGACAGCCATTCACCCATCGGTGGTACTCGAACCAACCTCAATAGGTAGGCCATACCACTGACCACGAGTCTCTGGTAACGAAGACCGTGCATGGTGCCTAGTCCTACCGTTCATAATCAGGATATCGGTGGAGGCTCACTGCCAATGAGCGTACCGCTACCAAACGCCGACACGAGCGCGCTTCAATGGGCACGCACACACTCGTCCATTAGGTATCACTTAACCATTCACTAGGCATTCCCTACATGCTGTGGCGCATGACCAGCTTCGATCAGCGGCTTACATAGAGGACTGAGGTGCTCAAAGATCAGAATGCTAGGCTCACTTCTTTTGGTAAATGTCGTGAATGAGACACCGGCAAAGCGCATGTTATTGGTTGTGCGTGGTCTGTTATTTGGATTGACACATTACGGCATCCTTCATTCAACATCGCCTCCACTATTAGGTACCAATTACCAGCACGGTCTAACCTTCCCTCGTCTTTTTGATGCGCCGTGCCGAAGTCCTCCTTTTCCGCCAGTCCTCGTCCTCGAAGTCCTCGAAGTCCGCCACAGGTATAGTGAGCAAAATGCTGATGCAAATTATGGCTACTACGGACTGAGCGATAAGAACAATAAACCCTAAAACCAATGGCATGTATATCTATGAACGCGGTAATGTGGTGGCCACGACTGTGATAAAGCCAGGGATGGTTGCTTTCCTGTTTTATATTTGAAGCAGGATTAACCAAACAGTGAAAAATGCATCTACCCATCAAAAAGCTCAAGAAAAAAATACTTCTCACCATGGCAATATCATGGATTAGATCGTATAATCTCTTTAAAGTATCGCGTCTCAAAAGTATCGCTATCACTCCCTGGTTTGACAGCCCCTAGCTTTTGAGGGTTGGCCGGCTGGCCGGCCCGTACCAATTTCACGGTTTCACGGGCCGGCCAGGCGGTCAACACTCAAAGCAAGGACATTCAAACCAGGGAACGATAATGATACTGTTACGATTACTTGAACTTTATTGAACTGAATTTAAACACGAAGGTAGCACTGTAACCGCTTACTAATGCTCAAAACTCTCGGCCACACAAGCCGGCCGCCCGCCGCCACACAGGTCCGTCGCGAGAAGGACAAACAGCGCCTCTGGCGGCCGGCCGACAAATTACGATCAGCTGATCGACAAAACTGGGTCACCGGATCGGCGCGCGACGGCCGATCGTCAACAGCGGCAGCTGATCCACAACATCCTCCCCTTCAAAAAGTACGGACACCTAGGTCACAGGTGCACACCCGAGGGCCTAACCTGGCGAATACGGTTGCGGGCGTCGCACTGGGCGGCCATAGCGGCTAACAGCAGTTGGCGGACGGATGGGAGTTCCGTCCGGCTCCGAATCCGAACTATCCGAGTCCGACAGAGCACATTCACTTTCAGCGCTACTCGGCGAGTCCACACGACCGGAAACTTCATCGGAGCGGACCGCCAGCAATGGCCCGACAGCGGTCCGACCTAACAGCGGAATACAGGCACCGAGGTCCGGTTCCTCGTCAGACACACTGACAGTGACAGGAACCGTCACACATGTCGCCCGTTCTGAATCGTCCCGCACAGAACTTTCTACTTTCTTCAGGTTACTACCATGCACAAGCACCTGCTTTCGTCCCCGCTTAATCCTATAATCAGGTCGCTGCACTTTGACGACTACATATGGTCCAGTAAAACGAGCGGACAGTTTCCTGCTCTTACCACGCTTCACTGCCTGCACTTTTAGCATCACCGTATCGCCTACTTCAATGTCACTCGTTCCAGCCACAGACGAGCGCGACTGGCTGTCCTGCAGTGACTGATGGGCCTGGTC